AAACTTGGGGAGGACATTGTGGCACTTTCTGCAATCTTTTTTCATTATTTGTGACACTGTCTGCAAATTATTTCTTGTACCAATGACTACAACTTTTTGTCCTCTAATGGAATATTAACTTCAATTTCCCCTATATTAATGCATCCATACCATGAAGATTAACCCAAGTAATTTGTTTCCTTCAAAAATAAAATGACAATGATAAAAGACATAATTCACATAATCAAGAGTGTCTCGAATCCAAAACATAAAACCCAGATCAAAATCCTGTTATCTTATGCTCAATTAAGACAGATGCTTAAGATTAAACAGACATTTATAAATTACTATTTTCACACATAAAAAAATTAAAAAATAGAGAGATTAAAAATAATAACCTTCTTCAGCTGAATGTACTGTCAGGTTTGGATCAGCCACGAAAGGTGTCAAAACGGTGCCATACTTCCCGAGCATCTCCACAATGCGACCATAAATCTCCACGTCTCCTCGGCCAGCTCTGATGCTGCCACAGAAGTACACCTTGAGACCCGTTGCCATGGTTATGATTTCTTCACTGAGGAAAAAGGGCATGTAAAGGTAAAATGAATGAAATATAATCTATTCTTAAATATATTGAATTCTTTATACTCTTATCTAATGAAATTATTTACCTCAGTCACATACAAAATTTCAAGTGATTATTATTTAAATAGAAATAACACAGCTAAAGCAACGGCAATTGCATGATGCCATTGGTGTAAAGAATACTATATCACGCAGAGAATAAAGACATTGATATGTATATTTACTGGTCTCATATAATGAAATGATAAATCATGACACAAACTCTAATCCATACAGTGGATATCTATGTTTAAATTGTAAAATACTTACCAAACTGTAAGTAAATATAATTAGAATTCAGTTTACATTACATTTTTCTAATAAAACTAATACACTCTTTTTCAGTGTTAAAATCTCAAGCACTAATAAATATAGCCCATCCTAGACTGCAACAGATGACACACACTTCCACTTAGTAATAATGGCAGACTCATGGTTTTCTTTCTTTATGAGGAATATCTATTACCTGGGGTTATATATTAATCTGGGCCAAAGATAAATGAGGGGTTTGCGGGCTCAGCGTCATGAATGGGTGCACAAGGCGATCTCAATTTCCTTGCAACCTGCACACATGCGTATGAATGCTTTAGCCAGTAGTTGTGTTTTATCATTTTCGAGTTCTTGGAGTCATTTCTAAATATCTTTGAGACTATTTTTTAGATACTAAACATTTGTTTTCCCCTTAAGCATTGCACAGACGAATCCACATTCTCATCAAACCTCATCCGACCTGATAAATAATTAGAACACAAAATACCTGAGAGTAGCTAATACAAACGAAGTGCTGGGATATACTACTCTTGAGTACGTCCCGCGTCTGGCCTACTGAGTACTCCCGCCAGCGCGACCTTGAACGTTTTCCTCAAAGATAAATGACCATGAATTAATTTTATCACCCTTGTCAAGATGTAATCTACTACCTTTTTGTCTCCATATGATTAGTCCCCATAGCACAATTAATAACATTCAAGAACTCAATATAACGAAGTGAATCTCACCAGAAGAATAAGAGAGCAACGTGTTATCACTGGAAGCTGTCCTGCTTCTAACTGGTAACTCACCAGCAGGCAGGCATCCCCCTTGTCCCACCCCAGCCATAGCAACACGCGGCAGACCTACTTCACTGGTCACTCAAAAAAGGAAAGGGAGCGAAGAGCAACGGGAAATGTGAATAAGCTCTCTTCCCGCCATTACAGCTCGCTTCCTTGTTGCATCAGCCAACAACCTTTTATTTCATTGCTTATCGCGTATGGGAATCAAGGTGCTGAAGGCGAGGGGGGAGGGAAAGGGGGGTAAGGGGACAATTTAGAGGATAAATTCTGCTTGAGTTTTTGCGGTTCGATGTAAAACCGAGGCAACTTATCGTGTTAGGCTTATTTCGCACCACGTGGTTTATAACTGCCGATGTTACCAATTAAAACAGATTCTGCTGTGCGCGCGGGCATGTGTGTGTGTGTGTGTGTGTGTGTGTGTGTGTGTGTGT